GCATAAAATTGTTGAGCGTACAGTCGCGGACTTTGTTTCGCACAATGATCAGCATTGGAAGTGTTTGTTTTCAATGGCAAATCCACACCCTGAAGGTCACCAGGAGATTGATGGACGGCCACTTTGACCACTCCAGCTTGGTCACACCCGATTTCATCAGCTTTGCCGTGGACCCTACATCGTAAAGAATGGCATTGCCTTCGCTTGCTTGGCCCTTCGGCTCAAGCCTAGAGTCGACCACATCTTGAGAGTTGCGGCAAAGCACGATACAACCTTGGGAGTCGAGGCAGCAATTCGACAGATAATCCCGACGTGCGAACAGTACAGCTGGAGGCGCAGGAAACGGCAATGAGCCATTTGCTCCAACTGGGACGCGTCTCCAGAAGCCACGGCACACGACTCTCGGCGCTCCAGAGACGGGTGAGTGTAAACGCGGGTCAGTCAGAGCGCCGCATTTTGCAGGATCTTGCAGGGCCAGGGGCGCACTAACGCGGGCTTGGGTGCAGGATCCGGCAAAATCCTGCAGGATTTTTGCAGGATCCTGCAAGGTCTGGCTGACCCCGGTCTGGAATCGTCGACGACGACCTTCCGACGACGACGACGACGACACTCCGTCGACGACTTTCCGACGACGATGTCGCTCCTACGACCAGGGCGACGACGATTTTCCGGCGACAACGAGGACGACCCTCCGCCGACGTTCCGACGTCGACGAGGCCGACGCCGACCGCCGACGCCGCCGACGCCGACGCCGACGACGGCGGCGGCGGCGCCGACGGCGCCGACGGCGCCGACGCCGACGCCGACGCCGACGCCGACGCCGCCGCCGCCGCCGCCGCCCCCGCCGCCGCCCCCGCCGCCGCCGCCGACGACGACGACGACGACGACGACGACGACGACGACGACGACCCCGCTCGTCCCTCCCCCCCGACGGCGGCGGAGGCCGGCGGCGGCGGCGCGCTGGTCGGCCGCCCGCGCGCGGGAGGGGCCGCCCGGGGAAGGGGGGGGGGCAGGGCTACAGCGCCCTGTGCCAGCGGGGCTCCCACAGGCTGTTCCAGGGCGGGCTGCTCCCGGAGCGCGGGGGTGAGGAGGGAGGATCGAGGGTCAAGTCGGGCGTCCCCCTACTATGGGGATTTTCGACGAAAAATAAAAGATACCCCAACAATGCCCCAAAAAGCTAAGGTCAAAAAACAGTCCAAACATAGCCCCCAGACTATTTGGGGATTTTGTTTCATTATTTTTTGGGTATCTTTGATTTTCGTCGGAAATCCCCCGGTAGGGGGACAGGCCCGACTTAAATCGAGGGCCCGCGTGTGCCCGTTCCCCCGGGAAGGAGAACATCACACCCTCGTTCGCCGGGGGCCGGGCTGGAGTTCTCTCTCGCTCTCGCTCTCGCTCTCTTCTTGGGCATGCCGCGGGAGCGAGCGCTCGAGGCGTCAGTCTCTCTCTCTCTCTCTCTCGCTCTCTTTCCCTCTCGCTGTGTTATGTTTTCCTGTTGTTTCCAACCATCCTGTGGTGTTGGGTCCTCGTTTTGAAGAGACAGCGCCCCGCGTCGCCTTCCTCACCTCTCCTCTCCTCTCCTCCTCCCCCTCCTCCCACTCCTTCCTCACCCCCCTCCTCCCACCATCAGGAGTATCATCATCCTTCGCATCCTCCTTCCTCCCGTGCCGTCATCATCATCATCATCATCATCATCATCATCATCATCATCATCATCATCATCATCATCAGCATCATCATCGCACCTGAATGGAGCGGCAGTTCGGTGGGCGTTGGCGTTTCGGCCTCGACTCACCTTGGGAGAGCGGGATCATCACCATCATCATCATCATCACCATCATCATCATCATCATCATCATCATCATCATCATCATCGTCATCATCATCATCATCATCATCGTCGTCCGAGGGTGGCCCAATAGGGAGCGTCGACCGAGGGTGGACCGATAGGGAGCTCCGCAAAAGGCTTCGCATGCATGTCCACCCTCATCTCGGCGCACCCCTTACATGGTTCGTGGCCCCATGGGGAGCTCCACCGAATGCTTCAGAGTCAGGGTTCGCATGCAGTTCCACCTTCATTTCGGCGCACACCTCACACCGTTCGTGGCCCCACAGGCAGCTCCACCGAAGGCCCCAGCGGCAGGGTTCGCATGCAGTTCGCCCTTCATGTCGGCGCACCCCTTACACGGTTCGTGGCCCCATAGGGGGCTCCACCGAAGGCCCCAGCGGCAGGGTTCGCATGCAGTTCCACCCTCATCTCGGCGCACCCCTCACACCGTTCGTGGCCCCATAGGCAGCTCCACCAAAGGCCCCAGCGACAGGGTTCGCATGCAGTTCCACCTTCATGTCGGCGCACCCCTTACACGGTTCGTGGCCCCATAGGGGGCTCCACCGAAGGCCCCAGCGGCAGGGTTCGCATGCAGTTCCACTTTCATCTCGGTTCACCCCTCACATGGTTCGTGGCCCCATAGGGAGCTCTATCGAAGGTCCCAGTGGCAGGGTTCGCATACAGTTCCACCTTCATTTCGGCGCACCCTTCACACGGCTCGTGGTCCCACAGGGAGTTCCACCGAAGGCCCCAGCGGCAGGGTTCGCATGCAGTTTCTCCCTCATCTCGGCGCACCCCTCACACTTTTCGTGGCCCCATGGGGAGTTCCACCGAATGCCACATCGGCAGGGTTCGCATGCATTTCCACCCTCATCTCGGCGCACCCCTAACATGGTTCGTGGTCCCATAGGGAGCTCCACTGAACACCTCAGTGGCAGGGTTCGCATGCACTTCCGCCTTCATTTCGGCGCACCCCACACACGGCTCGTGGACTCATGGGCAGCTCCATCGAAGGTCCCAGTGGCAGGGTTCGCATGCAGTTCCACATTCGTTTCGGCGCACCTCTCACACGGTCCGTGGCCCCATAGGGGTCTCCACAGAAGGCCCCAGCGGCACGGTTCGCATGCAGTTCCGCCCCCATGTCGGTGCCCCTCTCACACGTTTCGTGGCCCCATAGGGGGTTCCATCGAAGGCCGCAGTGGCAGGGTTCGCATGCAGTTCCGCCCTCATCTCGACGCACCCCTTACACGGTTCGTGGTCCCATGGGGAGCTCCACCGAATGTTTCAGAGGCAGGGTTCGCATGCAGTTCCACCTTCATGTCGGCGCACACCTCACACGGTTCGTGGCCCCATAGGGGGCTCCACCGTAGGCCCCAGCGGCAGGGTTCGCACTCAGTTCCACCCTCATCTCGGCGCACCCTTCACACTGTTCGTGGCCCCATAGGGACCTCCACCGAAGGCCCCAGCGGCAGGGTTGGCATGCAGTTCCGCTCCATGTCGGTACCCTTCCCACACGGCTCGTGGCCCCACAGGGAGCTCCACTGAACACCTCAGTGGCAGGGTTCGCATGCAGTTCCACCTTCATTTCGGCGCACCCCGCACACGGCTCGTGGCCTCATAGAAAGCTCCACCGAATGCCTCAGTGGCTGGGTTCGCATGCACTTCCACCATCATCTCGGCGCACCCCTCGCACGGTTCGTGGCCATGTAGGAAACCCCACCGAATGTTTCAGTGGCAGGATTCGCATGCAGTTCTACCTTCATTTCGGCGCACCCTTCACACGGTTCGTGGCCCGAGCTCCATCGAAGGCTCCAGAAGGCCCCCCGCTCGCCCGCTTAAGTCGTTCTCCCCCTCATACACGCCGCCGTCCTTTTGCTGGCCCCTCCCCTCCTTCGTCTCATCTCCCTCGCGGTACTCGCAGCCGCTTAGCCTATACCGCGCGCGCTACTCGGAGCTCGCGCGCCCCCCCTCTTTCGCCTCATCTCCCTCGCGGTACTCGCAGCTGCATATGGTTGCGTCCTTCGTCAGGCTAAGTATTTGTTTTTTTTTCTCTCTCTCTCTCTCTCTCTCTCTATATATATATATACATATATATATATATATATATATCGATTTTTCTATGTTTCTCTCGCTTGCCGCAGGGGTTGTATAATCATTGCGCTTCAGTTCAGCCTGGTTCTTTTCACCGTTAGTAGCTCTTTGTCTGTGTCCCCACCCCTCACCGGTCGTTCTCCCTCCTCCGGAGTCTCCCGACAGCGCCTGCTGGGCCCCGAGGACGCCCAGGCGTGGCAGCAGGGCCGGGACCTCGACCCCATCCGTCAGGTGCGCGCGCTCAGCTGCGCGGACCTTTCCTCCTCTTCTCCCTGCATCGTCTCCTCCGCGCTGCTTCTTCCTGGGGGGGGGACTCGGGCTCGAGGCCTGCCCTCGTTGCGGTGCTGCGGAGTCTCGTCGCTGTCAATGCGCTCGCCTGTCCTGTCCCTCACGCAGCAGCCTTGGGCTTCCCGACTCCGCCCCGATCGACCGACCCGATAGCCCCGGAGGGAGAGAGGAAAGGAGGGATGCGGGGGGGATGTCGAGGTCGAGGTTTGAGTGCTCTCGGCCCTGTGGCAAGGCTCGAGGGGTCTCGGGAGGTTCCTCCTCGTCCCCCCTCTTCTCACTGCGCAGGGCCGGCAGAGCTGCCCCAGGGGCCCAGAAGGCTCGGTTTCGGCTAGTTGCCCCCCGTTCTGCTCCTCCTCCTCGTTCCAGGACCTCCGACGCCGTGTGCTTGTCCGTCCACAAGGCGGACTCCAGGGGGTCCCGACCCCTTCCCCAGGATTTAGTGTTTCATCCAAGTCCGTTCGTTGACAGCCCCTGGGCCCGACAAGGGCTCACAGAGACTGAAGAATGAAAATCGTTTTCCTTTGTGACGTGTTGCGCAACGCGGAGGAGTGTCTGGGTCCCCCTCTTCCTGCTCTGTGCTCGCCCCTTCTTCTCAGGGTCAATTTCGATCCGCTCGATCAGATTTGATGACGATTTCGAACGGCCCGACCCGATGCGCTTCCGATGTTTCGCCGATCCGATCGGGCCCAGTGATTCCATGGCGCTGTTGTGCATCCTGGCGCGGCCGATTCGATTCCATTCCGCCTCCGCGAAAATGCGTCCTGGTCCGACGTGATCCGATCCGATATTCATAGGTCCGATGCCCCTGCGGCCGGCTCGAAAGGCTGGCTGGTCATCAGGACGCTGGAGGGTTTGGGGGATGGGGTCGAACGAAGGTCGGGTGAAGGGAAAGTGGGAGTATGATAATGTGTTCTGCAGCTGCGTGCAGCTGGTTTTGCCCCCTCCGCTGGGTGGCTGCTCGGGGCTGAGACACAATTTCCGTCCGACCCAAGGGGAGCACGGCGCCGGTGAACCTGGAGTCAGAGCGGGCGGCTCGAGGAATATGCCCAGCTCGCCGCCGGCCCGCCCGGGAAAGGCCACGTACGATTGGAATGGGTTCGGAAGGACTCGGGAGAGAGACCGACAGCAGTTGCTGCCTATTTTTAACAGGACTCTAGCTGGAGTGTGTGTTGGTTTGGCATCTAACGCACGTCGCCCCACCCACCCAGCAGATGACGTGACGCCCGGCGCCCCACCCACCCCCCTTGTAGCAGCGCCTGTCGTGTCGCGCACAGGTGTGGTGTTCGTAGTGCGCGGACAGCGCATTTGCAGTATGATCGGGCATGTTCCTGTGGTACGTAGATCAGGAGGAGAAAAAACACACAGACTCAATTGAATCGTCGATTCCCGAAAAATATTGGAACAGATGGGAAGTGGGGGGGAAGACAGAAACTTACAAAATATGGGAAAATATGGGGAATCCTTTTATTTATGTGTGTATTTATTTCTGTGTCTCAGGGCCCCTTCAGTAGAGGCGCGTGGTGCGCGCAGGCTGCCGTGGGGCCTGCGCGGGCGCGGCGGCGCATTCGGCATCGAAGGCCATAGGCGGCTTGATGTGCACAGCTCGCGCGCGCCGACTGCGGCGGCAGAGTGGTGGTTCACCCCGGCGTGGTGGTGTCCAGCATTGTGGTATCGGCAAGGGCGCCCTCGAGGGCGCGAAGTTATTCGCGCTTCGCGGTACGGCTCCGATTCCTCATCCTCCTCTCCTCCCCTGGGAGGCGGCGCGAGAGCGCGAAGTTATCCGCGCTTCGCGCAGCGCGAAGCGCGGAGTTGGGAGCCCTTATATCGAGTGGCCTTCGGCCCATCCCGCCACCGTGCGTGGGTTGTGGGTTCGGGCCCTCCTGGGCCCGAAAACGTCACGCGCGCCAATCCCAAGGAGATTTGAGAGCGAGGGGTCCGGGCCCCTTGAAGACTCCTCAGGAGAGAGGATTGAGGTTTAGAGGATTTGGCCCAGGATCTGAGGACACGCTCACTCATTGCCCAGCGGCACGGTGGCGGGTATACATAATTTGTTGCGTACGCAAGCAACGGAGGGGCCGTGCCAAGGGCCAGAAGAAAGCAACAATCACAAACAATTTACCTCATTGAATGTTATACGATCAGGCGAGACATGCACACATGTGGCAGCATATCTCCGCGCTCCGTCCTCGTACCCCGCGTGGTTGGGCACGCTGGCCCCCCGCATGTGTATCCAGCGGGTGACCTTCAAGATTCTTGGCGTCCTCCTCTGCCTCCTCTTGTTTTTTCCTTCTGGCAAAACCTGTCGATGAGCGAATGGTGTTTGTTCGTACCACTGGAGGGCCACACTTCGTTGGAGAGATTTCTCCTGCTCTTCCTCCTTTTCTTCCCCCTCCTCCCCACGGTTGCCAGGGCGGGCGCCGGTACGCAGCGCCGCCTTCGCCTTGTTCTGTCTCTTTTGTTTCGTCGGATTTCGGGAGTCGTCCGAACATAGGACCGGTGGTCGCGTAGCTGAGCCTGAATACGCCACGGGAGTAGCTGCGATCCAGACGATTATTTGAGCACGTCTCGTCCATTCCGCTATATTGCAGCACGCGCCATGGGGTTCGTCAGTTCGAGGGATCATGGACCGCGAAGGGAGTCAGTGAGTCAATCAGTAACTCCTCGTCCTCTGCATCTTCTTCCTCCTTGTTTTCTCCTTGCTCTTTCTCTTCCTCATAGTTCCACTCTCTCTGAGGCCGCCTTGCGAGCAGGAGTATGAGGAGGAGGACGACGACGACGAACAGGACTAAGAAGTTTCGTAGCAAGCCCTGTAAAGAGGTTCCGCGTGTGCTCCTCCAATTTTTGCTCATGCTCCTCGCCCAGCCATTTGTTCCCTCCGAGGAAACTTTGCGTCATGCTGTCCAGGTTCGCTGAAGGGTTTGTGGTGATGTAGTGTTTTTCAATCCCAGGATGTTCGACGTGAGCGATCACATGTGCACCGCACCTGCCGCGTCGTCGCCGTCCTCGCCGTTGCGGCCGCCGCTGCCACCTGGGGCTCTTTGGGGGGGTCTTGGGGCCCTGTTGGGGCTCGGGGGGAGGCCTCCTGGGGCAATCTTGGGCCCCACAGTTCAAACATTCGGGGGTGGACAGACCTCCTACCCTGACACGTCGATTAGCGAAGTGGCCGGTTTCGATTCGCGAGAGGGCGTCGCCGCGGCCGTCATTTTTGCGGGTCCAGGTCCGTCGGTTTCGGTCCCAGGCCGTTGAAGGGTGGTTTACTAAAGGGAGGTCTGTCCACCGCCGAAACATGTGGAGGGCTTTCATTTTGGGCCCCCCGTTGAATTGAGGGCCCCTCCGAGGTCGAACATTCGCGTTTGAAGCCTTTTGGCTTTTGGAGGCGCTTCTGTGGCGCTTTTGGGCGCCGCTCGGTCCCTCTGGGGCCCCTCTTGGGGCTCTCTTCTGCCGTCTTGGGGCAATCATGAGGCCTCGCCGGCGATTTTCTGTTGGTGTTTGAATGACTTTTGGCTTCTTGGGAGGGTCCAGAGGGAGCTCCGAGAACACATGGTGCTGTCCTGGGGCGGTCTTGGAGCCTTTGGAGGTCTGTCGGAGGCTAGCTTGAGCCACCTTCGGCAATCTGGAGCCATCTTGGAGGCCATCTTGTAGCATTTGGGGCGTTCCTGGAGCCATCGTGGACCCCAAAAGGCTCCCGTGACACCTCGCGGGGCGCCCTTTCCAGACCCAGGGGAGGGGTAGGCAACACAGGCCCGGTCAAACCAACATGTTGACCCGTGAAGAGGCGGGGCACGATCTGGAAGATAATGATACAGTGGGCAGGATTAGTAGGTCGACCCTGCCAAATCAAGGGTACGCTTGTGTCTTGTGTCTCGCGACCCATTCTTCCTACATTCCTGTGGCAATGTGACCCTCGGAAGGGTCTTGTGTCCTCTCGCGTGTACTGTCCAATCAAGTCCGACTGCAGTGCGATTTGCATGCGTGATGTCAAGGACGTGCACGACGAGTGAGCAAGGCTTGTGCCACTGCGCGGAGGGAAGGGGAAGGAAGGGGAGGGGGACGGGAAGGAGAGGGGGAGGAGGGAGACACAATGGCCCATCCTTGCGTGGAGCGAAGATGGAGAGGTGAGGGGGAGGGGGATAAGAAGGGATACAATCAACCGAAGCTTTTTGAGTGCGAGGGGATAGGGTGAGGGGCAAACCCCTTCCCGAGCAGGGGAAGGAGGGGCTTTGGAGGAGTGAAGACAAGAGGGCCGTCTTGGAGCGTCGGGAGCTTGAAAAGACAAGAACGACAGAATCCTTGGAACACATGGGGACAATAACTAAATGTTGCCTCGTGGGGCCCTCTTTGGAGGCCTCTTGGAGGCCTCTTGGTGCGTCTTGGAGGCATCGTGGGCCGTCTGGAGGCCATCTTAGGCGTCTTGGAGCGATCTTTCGGCGACTCCTTCTTGGACTCCTTTTTGGTGCGTCTTGGAGCGATCTGTCGGTTTTGGACAACATGTGCTGTTGGGCATTGTACCCGCTCTTTGCGTAGCCAAAGGTCGGACGATTGAGAGTGTTATTTCAAAGGGAGGCCTTCCAAATGGGGACAGAGTAGTGAAAAAGGTGTCAGAGGATCACGCCGCATCGCCGATGCATCGGCGATGCGGCGCGATGAGGAGATATATTTCCTGCCGTTCTAACGTTGCTGGTGCATCGGCGATGCATCGGCGATGCGGCGCGATCCTCCGACCCCATCTACTGTGACCTTAATTGGAAGGTCAGGTGGGGAATCTGCTTATACATCTGGTGCGATTCTGATCCATCCGCTGGTCGCTTTCCTCGGTACACGGGTGCCTGCGGCGCTGGGAGGCGCCAGAAACACCAGCTACGTGACACGTGATCCCCTCCTTCCGTCTGCCGCGGCCCTTCAAAAGAAGCGAAAGGTGCCTTTCGGCGGCTTCAAAAGAAGCGACTATCCCAGGATGGGTTGGGGCACATTCCATGTATTCACATGCTCCGATCGCCGATGTCGTCGACAAGATATGCCAGGGAATGGGTGTAAGTCCCGCCCCTTTTGTCTCCACCGAGTCCAGCGCAGACCCGAGATGATCCTCGCGGACCCGCGAAAGTCTGCGCTTGTGCGATTCCGTCGTGCAGTGGAGACCCATGCCAAGAAACACCCTGCTTGCCTCCAGGGTGCACTGGGTTTCTTGGGTTTCGATGGTTTTGCGATGGAGAGCGTGACGTTCCCAAACCAGACATCAATGGACCTCTGGGGTCTCAGAGTTGGGCTTCTTGTGGAAGGTTTCTTGTGGACCGGCCTCCACTGTAAGTCCCGCCCCTTTTGGTCTCCACCGAGTCCAGCGCAGACCCGAGATGACCGTTGCGGACCCGCTAAAGTCTACGCTTGTGCGATTCCGTCGTGCTGTTCTCACCACCCACCAAACCACCCCAACCCAACCCGAAGGCCCCAATTTATCCTCGATTTCCTGTGGGAGGGGGGGTCGTGAACATCGAGAAAACACACATGGAACCCGTACCCCCCCAACCCGAAATTCGGGTCTTCGGGTTGGGTTGGGGTGGTCTGGTAGGTAGTCATGTTCTCCAGCGTCGGCGGGGGCGGCGATGCTCTCCTCTCCACGGCCGCGGCCGCGGAGGTGAGGGACGACCTCGACGAGCTCCTGGCGACCGCGGGGCGGGCTCAGGCGCGGCCCACGCCCTGCCGAGGACGCGGGAGGAGTAGTGGTATTGATGATGTCGGTGTTGTTGTTGGCGGTGTTGCTGATGCTGTTGCTGAGGATGGCGTTGTTGTTGATGATCATGCTGACGGTGACGACGAGGATGGCGTGATGATGGCAGGAAGATGTTTCTCCTCCCCCCTCCTCCCCCCCCTCCTCCTCCTCCTCCTCCTCCGCCTCTGTCCTTCCTCATTCTCCTCTCTGCTAATCCTACACCATGCCCTCCTTCTTTTCCCCCTTCGACGCACCCCGTCTTCGTGCAGCGCGTGATGGTCCCACGGTAGCCATCGTCCTTACCCTCTTCTTTCTCGTCCCCCTTTTCCCCCCATACCGTGCTTCTGTCTGCGCGGTATCGTGACACTCCGCGGGGTGTCGGGGACCTATGACTCGTCGGGGGAGCTCACGACCTTCCCGCGGCTGCGCAACTGAAGCACGAGAACGATACGAGGAGGAGAAGGAGGAGGAAGGAGGAGGAGGAGGAGGAGAGGCGGGACAGGAGAAGGGGGATAGGAGGAGGTGGGGGTGCTTCTCAGCATGTGTTCTCTCTGCAATCCTGACTCAGCTGCAATCGCGACCGCCGAGCGCTTTGAGTGTATAAAACCTTGCATCGTTCACATCGAGATTGCCCCGCCCCCCCTCCCGGGGACTGGGACTGGTTTTCCAATCAGAGAACGTCAAGGATAACGTTACGGCCGAGAAGCCCAACAAATCGTTCCCAGGAGTTGTCAGCCCATCATGATAGAAGGCAGAGCAAGAAGAGGGGAGGCGAGGAGGGCACAGGACGATGACGATGATGCGTCCCCTTCCTCCCCCGCCTCCGCTGCACTCCCCACCCTCCCCCTCCACCTTCTGCGATCTCGGCCGGTGCCAGCCGAGACCACTGCGCGATGTTGTGCGCTGCGCTCGGCAGCTCGTCCCCGACGAGGCGGAGGGGCGAGAGGTCAGGACCGCTAAAACCAGGGCACGGCAAGCCAGGACTCTGCCAAACCCGGCCGGAGAAAACGAAGGCCAGAGGAGGAAAAAGTACCCATGCCGCTGCCCTACGCCCCGTGTTCCCCTGGTCAGGCCTCCTGGGAGGCCCTCGTCGCCACTGCTGGCTTCGCCTCGAAACCCTGGTCCGAACGCACCCCGGGAGAGGTCCGCGGGGCAGCGGTATCGGCACCCTTTTGATTACCCCAGAGGGGCGGAGGGTGTTCCGGCCCATAGCTGCTGCTTTCGTGGCTGCCCCCGCCCGTCCCCCCGTCCGCGCCCCTACGTGCGTGCTTGCTGCCCCCGCCTCTCTCTCCCCCCCCCTCCTCCTGCTCCGTGTCTGTTCGGTGCGCTTGTCCTCGTCCTCTCTCTCCTGATTGCGATGGTGTTGGCGATGATGACCATGATGCTGATGACGATGATGATGAGGATGCTGCCCTCCCCTCCTGCTGGCCGGGAGGTCCAGCCCGCGGGCGGCCGCAGTGCGGTCGGCGGGCCTGGGGCTGTCGAAGCTGGCCCCGAGACAGCCGCTCCAGCTTTGAATGTTCCTCCTCCTCCTCCTCCTCCTCCTCCTCCTCCTCCTCCTCCGCCTCCTCCTCCTCCGCCCTCCTCCTCCTCCTCCTCCTCCTCCTCCTCCTCCTCCCTCCTCCCTCCTCCTCCTCCTCCTCCTCCTCCTCCTCCTCCTCCTCCGCCTCCTCCTCCTCCTCCTCCTCCTCCTCCTCCTCCTCCTCCTCCTCCTCCTCCTCCTCCCCCTGCACTCCAGACGGGTCTTCGTGGCCCAGCCCGACGTCCTGCGCTGCAGACAGAGCCCGCCCTGCTAAGGGCCCGGGAGGAGGCGGAGCGGCGGCCCCTCGCGCCGCCCTGCGGGGCCGCTCCCGCCGTGCCCCGCGCAGCTCCTCCTGCCGTTGAGTCGAGCCCTCTTCTTCTTCCTCCTCCTCCTCCTCCTCCTCCTCCTCCCCCTCCTCCTCCCCCTCCTCCTCCCCCCTCGGCCCCCCGTCCTGGGCCACCCTCCTGCCGTTGAGTCGAGCCTAGCCCTCTGCAGGAGGAACATTTGAAAATAGCCAAAAACAATCGTCTGGGGACGTGTTTTTTTTTGGTTTGTTTGTCCTTGTGTGTTTTTTTTATAGTTTTTTTGTTTAATATTTTGGGGAGTATTCTTCGACTACGTTCCAGTTTTCGCCCAAACTCCCCCTGTATGGGGGACAGGCCCGACCTCATCCTGCCGTCCCTTCCGATGTGTCCGCATGGCTCTGCCGGTGCTTTCAGGCCTGCTTCGGGACTCGACTGTCGGGTCGGACGAAGGGGGGGTCGGAAGGGGGGGGGACAAAATCTGCTGCATGCAGTTGGTTCGTCTCCGCCGCTTGATGTGTTCCTCGACATAGTGGCGCCTCCAGCGACGGGAGGCGCTCGGAGGGTCAGCTACGTGAGCTGATTCGCTAACCCTCCCTCTGCTATCCCCCCCTTTCGTCCGAAACGGCTCCGATACTTTGGAATGAGAGCCTCGGCTTCCATTGTTGTGGACTGACCCTCCGAGCTCCTCTTGGTACCCGCGCCGGCAGGCTATGCTGCAGGAGCTGGTTGCGCCGGAGGCGGACGCGGGAGCGTGGGCTCCAGGCCGAGGGTGGCGGCGACGTCGTCGGTGTCGTCGTCGTCGTCGCCGTCCTCATTCTCGTGCCCCTCGTTCTCCTCCGCCTGCTCCTCCTTCTCGTCCTCGTTGTCCTGCCCGTCCTCCTTCAGCTGGCCATGGTGCTCCCTTTCTCCTGCGCCTCCTCCTGCTCCTCTTCTCCTCCCCCTCCTGGCCCCTGACCCCAAGCCGATCCTGGTCCTTATGATCCTCTTCTGCCTGCCCCTCCTTGTCATCCTCTTCCTCCTCCTGCGTTTCCTGCTGCGTTCTGCTCATCTCCGCCTCCCTCGCCCTTCCCTTGCGTTGTTCGTCCTGCTCCTTCTCTGCCTGCCACTCCTCCTCATCCCTCATCCTCGTCCTCCTTCTCCTCCTGTCACTCCTCCTTATCCTTCTCCTCCTGCTCCTGTCCCACCTCCTGCTCCTTCCGCTTTTCCTGCTACTTGTGATATGGATAGTTGCGCAGCGCCAGGTATAGTTTTGCGTTGAGCGCGGCTCGAGCAACTGGCGTAGCCGTTGCGTAGCTCTAAGGCCAAAGGCCCTTATACATATTGGTTTCTAGGTCACCCTCGGGGCTCTTGGAAACGATGTTGATTCACATTCCTCCTGGTCGCGGTCTTGGGCGGCCATAGAGGTGACCATGTGTCGATTCACTCGCGGCTACATTAAGTAGAGACGACTATCATGATAGTCTGAGCGGCGGGAGTGCCGGGCTCGGCACCTTTTCGCAGCAGATGACAAGCGAACCGGCTTACCCAGCATGTTATGTGCAGGTTGCCCTCAGGGTGGTTTAACGTTTGCATTACTCACGTCCTTACATACTCAATTCACACAGGCCCTCGGCCGAACGATTATTTTGTCATGTAGTAAGACGGTGCTAGGCGGAAGCCGTGGTTGTGGAGCAAGAGAAGTGGGTGTCGTCATCACCGCTGGCAAGGAGTGCGCACACACAACAACAAATGGTTTGAAGCTTGTTGCTCGGCAGTGCGTCAAGCGGCTGCGAACGGCAGCGGTTCTGGGTTCCGGCGAACATGCGAACAAATTTCATGCGAATTCACGTTTCTCTCTTGCCCTCACCGGGCGTTTCGTCTTCTTTGGCGTCACGCCGTCAATCTGTCTCCAACGGTTCTCCAGGTCGGTCCTTACCGTAGGATTGTGACATGCATGTTCTTTGGAACCAGGGGGCGGGGGCTAAAGTGACAACCCATATGGTCGCTCGCGTGGTCGCTCGCATGGTCGCCCCAACATGGGATGGCAACTCATAAGGTCGCCCATGCGGTCGCCCAGAATCAATCGGGCAACCCATGTGGTCGCCCAAATGGTCGCCCAAAACCAAGCGAAGCTGAGTCAGTAACTCATCATGTCGCCCAGATGGTTTCCCGAATTGCAACTGGCAGTCTGAATGGTCGCCCCGCGCTGTCGCCCGCCCGACGGCCGCACTTCCGCGCGGTCGCCCGCGCGGTCGTTCTCCGGGCAAATGCCCGCCGACGCGGGTCGCAGCCGCCGAGCCGCAGCGCGGCTCGACATCCTAACGGAACGTTGCATTTGCGGCGCGAAGCCGCGCAATGTTTCCAAAACCATGTCACGGAGCTGTTCGGCGCGGCCTCGAGCCCGCCTCGCGCCGCTGCCCCTCGCGGCGATCTGTAGAATTAGGGAAGAACGCGGAGGATGAGCGAACGTCGATTAGGACGGGGCAGGCGCGGGGGGGGCGGGCGCGGGGAAGGGGGGCCAGGGGCCGGGGGCGGACGACGGGGGCGAGGAGGGCAGGGGGCGCAGCGACGAAGAGGAGGGCAGGGGGAGCGCGCGCAAGCGCGCGGGATGAGGGTTTGGAACGGAAGAGAGAGAACGAACATTCATCCTCCACCCACCTTCCCCATCGAATCTCGCCCCCCCCGCTCCCCCCCCCTCCCCCCAATTCTACGATCCCCCGTCCGCCGCGCTGCCCCCTTGACGTCCGCCACCCCTGGGGGGTGGGGCCGTCGCGGTAGGTGCCCCGCGTGGTCCTAGCTCTGTTTGGGGCTGGCCGGTTTGCGCGAGACGCCGCGGGGCCCGAGCCTTCGCGCCACCGCGGCCCACGCCTGCGGACCTGTCGCGGGGCGGGTGGTGGGGCACAGTCGCGCCATTGGCGTGCGTTCCACACCGCGCCACACGCGCGTCCGCAAGCGTCCAACGGGTCGATCCAGAACGGCGGGACGCAGGGGAGAGAACGGCGGGGAATGCGACGGCGGCGCGGAGGAAGGGTGAGAAGATTGCGCGAATGCACTGCCAAGTTGCGCTCGAAACGGGCCCCGACAACCTCCACGCACACGCGCACGCACAGACACAGACACCACCACCACCACCACTTCTTCCCCTCCCCCACCCCACCCCACCCCCCCCCACCCACCCACCCACGCGCGCACACGCGCGCGCACACGCACGCACGCGCGCCCCCCCCCCCCCCCACACACACACACCCCACCCCACCCCACCTCACACCCAGACCCACGCGCACACGCGCACCCGCCGCCCCTCTCGACAGGGGCCCAGGGGCCCAGCAACGATGACCGACAAACCCAAGAGAAGCACCGCGATGCCAACGTTCACCTCGTGGGCCCCGCTGGAAGCACATGGGCGCCAAAAGACATGCAATGTATTTCCAGATCCGCTTCCCGATTTCTTTGCCGCCCTCGTGCCCGTTCCCGCCATTATGCCCCGCGTTTCTTCCCCGTCCCCACCATCTCTTCTGCCTTGTCTTTGTCCCCCCCGGCCCCCTTTCATCGCAGCATCCTTCGCGCTGCGCCTGCGGCGCCGCGGTGAGTCACGAGCGCAGGCGCATTGCCCCTCCTCCGCCACGCTGCGACAGCATCGCAAGTGCCCCCGTCGCGCGCAGAGGGCCATCCTGGGCCAGGCGGGCGTTGCCTGGTTGGGCGCGTCAAACGCGCCCTGGGCGGCGGGGGCGGGCGGGAGGGCGGGCGGGCGCGCCGGCGCGGGGCGCGCGCGCCCGGGCGGGCGCGTCGGCGCGGGGCGCGCGCGCAGCGGGGCGCGGAGGGCGGGGGGGAGGGCGGGGGACTGGTCGCGCGCGGGAGGGGGAGGGGGCGCGGACGGATTCCCATCAGTAGACGGGTTGAGGACAGGCGGGCTGTGGCCGCGGCGGTGGCGATGGTTAGGCGCGCGTCTGCGCGCGCGCAGGACATCGCGCGCGCCCAGCTGCGCCTGCATCGCCGCAGCGGCGGCTTTCCACGCCGCCACTAGCAGCGCCGCCGCCATGGCGACCATCAGCGCAATCATGGCGACGACCAGCAGCGCCGCGACGACCGTCGCCAGCAGGGCCGCAGCCGCAGCCCTGCCGCGACGGCGACCAGTATCATCATGACAGCGACCAGCAGCACCACGATAATGACCAGAAGGTCCAGCAACGCACCGACTGCGGCCAGGGTCAGCACCGCCGCCGGCGCCGTCGCGACTCCGCTCAGCAACGCCACTACGCGCGGCGCGCGCGCATTATCGCGCGCGTTTCTGTAAGACGCCGCGCCCAGCGGTTTGATGGTCCAGAACGGCGGCTCCGCCGCGTCATCGTTGACAATGGAATCGCGCGCCTTGCGCGCGAGAGGCTGGCGTTCGAGTCTGGCCCCGGAAACTTGGGGGCGAAGCCGCGCTGCGCACTCACCGCGGCGCGCCGCCAATGGACGTCGGACAACGGGCGCCAGGCGCGCGGCGCGCGGCCAATTCCCTTCGACCGCCCATCGTTTGGGCCAATGTAGAGCTGGCCAGGTGGAACATCGGCGCGCCGCCTTGCCCTCTGCAGCTGCGGGTTTGCTGCGCGCGCCCGACGCACCGCGCCCGCGCTCGCGCGCGGCGCCATTGCCCGACGGCGCATGCTCATCGCGGCAAGCCGCGTCGCTCTCGACTGGGCGGCGCGGCTGATCACGCGCAAGCAGGCGCGCCCCGGCAGGCGCGCGAGCGTGCAATTTTCGGTGCTGGCTCGCGCGGCTTCCTCATAGGTGTCCTTCCGCAGGTGTTTGCGAGCGGGCCATGGCGTTCTGCCGCCGCGCGCCATCGCCGCTTTCCCCCGCGCCTTGCCTTGTTTCCTGCAGCTTGCTGCCCCGAGGTCGCAGGCCCTGCCCAGCGCAATTGCAGCGCGCACGGCCGCCCGAGCACCCGCGCCGCGCCGGCGCCGCAGCGCGCATGCCACTAGGAGGAGCGCGCGCCGCTGCGCGCCAGACATACATTCAGGCGGACGGGCGCGTCGAGCGCCGCCCGCTGCGGCGACGACGCCGCCGGGTCGCGCGAGCGCTGATCATCTTTCGCGCGTAACCCCCGCCTGTGTTCGATGCTCCCGAAGTTGTGCTTCGCGATGGGCGCAGACGCCGGAGTCGGAGGTGCAGGAATGGCTGGTGGCACGCGCGGTACATCCTGCGCTCGTTGGCGCTTCTGTGGAGTAGCGCCTGTGAGGTCTTTGAGAGTGTTCGCATTGCCTCCTCCGCTTGTTGGTGGTGGTGGTCCTCCGTCTTCTCCGTCTGGCGGTGGTCCTCCGTCTTCTCCGGCCGGTGGCGGTGGCAGTCCGACGCCGGAGGCCTCCTCCTCCCGGACTTGTGGGGCGCGTTTGCGGGTTGGTGCCCATCAGCCAGAGGCCGTCCTGGCGGCGGCTGCGGCTGGTTGCCGTCTTGTGCCGTCGTCCCCAGAGCGCGAGCACCGACGCGTCAGCGCGTCGACGGCGGCGGGGCGGCGGCCGACCCACGCCTTCGCGGCGCCCTCGAACCCGATGACGCCGGGGCCGTGCTGCTGCATAGCCCGCTTGCGCGCGGGCTTGCTGTTCCCCCTCCAATAGTTCACCTGGTCACCAGTCTGACACACGTCAAGGGCATGTAGAGCACCATCTGCTCGCGCGCGGGCGCTCAGAGCCCGGGGCAGAGACTGCTCACAGCGAAGCTGTTGGATGGAGGTCTGGGCGACTTGCATGATCGCGACCCCCGCAGAGAAGGGCATGTCTGACACGACGCGCTCGCGCGAT